AAAAAAAAAAAAAAAAATGGAGCGGCGACGAGTCTCGAGGTTGTTTTTGTCAACAAAAAACCCGAACCGAACGATTTCGGTGCATATAATGTAGTGCACACAGCTATAATATGTAATACACAGCAGCGGCCTGTGTATGTTGTAAGCACGGAATGCGCCGATCGCCGCTACGCGGCCGGGCACGGCGGCTGTGTAAATGTGTGCGCGTATATATATGTATCGCCCTTATGCGCGGGAAACATCTGCCAGCTGTGACTTGCTCATCCACCAGAGAGTGAGAGAGAACAGCAGGAGAAGTGCAGACACAAAACGAACGAGCCGATCGTGTATGTGTGTGGAGAACTTTACGTCCTCCCCCTCGCGACTCCCCTCCGCTCTTCCTTTGTCCATCGGCACACGCACACACACACAAACGCAGACACTGCGAGCTCATTTCGTGTGTCGCGTACCCGCGTGTGCTCCGCCCATCTTGCCGTGTGTAGTACTACTACTACGTTAATACTATAAGTGCAGCTATATAGCTCCACCGCTGCCACCGCCGCACCCCCTCGCGCGTATATACACAGGCCCCGCAGTGCCCTCGTAGTAAACTTGCGCCTTGAATTTCGATAATAACGCGAATACTCGCTGCTGTGGCTGGTGCGGCCGACGCGCGATGCTACTTTGCCAACGCATGAAAATACAGCGACTGTAATACTTTTTGATATCGATAACTCGTCGTCGCTCACAGAGGGAGTCGTTTCAATGGCATATGCTTATGGTTATTTAATTTTTCGTATAGTTGTTTTCGATTCGAATGCAAATTGATTCTAGTCTCGACTAAATTTCCAAGTATGATTTTTTACATTAATAACGATGATTACATATTATACTTGACAATAAAACAATCATGTACGGTCCATTGCTCCGGTTGTCCCAGTGGACTCGTCAGGAAGTGATCTGATTTTGGATGCAGTTGATATACGGTGTCGCACCTGAGTTTGTGCACTGAATCGTCCAAGCCTAGAATTTTTTATTCTATTTTTTGAAGATACTGGAGTTAATTTGGGTGGTTTGTAAGCAGCGCCTTATATTTTGCTACATTTGACGCAGCGGCTTGAAATATCTCAACTATATCGATATTCGATTTTGATGCGAGGCCTCGGAGAGTTCGATGAGATAAAACCCAAAGTTAATTTAAAATTTGTTCATTTTGCCGTAGATGAATGATTTCGGAGAGCAATTTTTCAAAATGAAAAATTAACAGAGTTGATCGGTAATCATTAATCACATTGCGATTAACTGTGCACATTAGGTTTTATTACGATTGTATAAGTAGTTTTACAAAAATACATTCTTTAATTTAAAAAAAAAATTATTTCAATCTTATACGAATGTTACATTAATTTTTTTTTATTTTTAATATAAAAAATACAATGGATGCAAAATGGCCACATACGAGGAACAAAATAACCGGCACTTGATCGATGCCCCATTTATCGGTGATGTATGAATATTCGTCATTTGTGATACAAATTGTTTTAAATATAGATCGAGTACTTTTTTGCGCGCGCAAAAAAAGTATAATTTTATAAGGATTATATTTTTATTTCATTAAATGCAAATTTCACGGTATTGCACTTCTGACATTCTCAATAAAGTTTTGTTTTAATTCGAATTTTTTTTACAGAATTTGTTCAAATTTAAAAATTTATCTTATGTAAGACATAATTTACATACGTTTTATCAATACACAGTAAATTTCCTTTGACAGCAGTCTTTCTCAAGACGCATTGATATAGTATCACAATATGTCTAAAATCTAAGAAATAAATCGATTTTCTATAGAATCCAAGAGCCACTTTGCTTAATGTTATGAAAGAATGTTAAAACATCATAATACAGTTTTGTTTTGAGACTGTAACCTAATTTTAAGCACAAATAAAGTGTAGGTCTTGATGATAAAGGCAACAACTTTCTGTTATGAAACATTAATTGAAAATCGAATTTTTAATGTGAAAAGTCACTGCAAAGTATAAAAAGTATTTACAATGAAAGTTACCATGATACCCAAATCGTGAGTTGTCTCTAGAAAACATATGCTACCATCTATTATTTTGTCTTTTAATTAAAGAATATAAATGCTTATAAATGCAAAGAAGCTTTTTAAAGCGTTTTGTGACAGCAAATTTCAATTTTCCGTGTTTAGCTGAAAATTTATTTATTTATCAAGTATAATCAACAGAAATGTTGGTTTATGTAAAAAAATGTAAAAAATTTCATATTATCTAACATACAAGTATCATGCTTATAATACAATTAAAAACGAATTTAGGTTTAAATACTTCATTGCATCTGTTGCAACGAAAAATGTACAATAAATTATAATTTTATTTCTAAGTATTTTACTAAAAAAAAAATTAACGGATAAGATTTTCCTGGAAAACCTTGATTTTGATGATATTAATTTTTGTTTAAGGCAGTAGAATTAGTTCTATGCTAAAGTAACCGATGAAATTCAATACCATGTGTTGAAGCTTGCCATTGCATTAACAATTCTACAACTCGAAACTTATAAAAATACACAGAATTGTAAAATGATGGGAGGGCTCTTCTTATAAAATCTAAATTCTTATATAGTTAGGCACAAGAGTTACGTCATAGTTGATGGCAATATTTCACTTACATCAAAATTACTTTCGTCCATCTTACTTTGGAAAATCCATTATTTACACTTTAATTGACATGACATCCATAAGCACAAAACTACTCGATGCATCTCTGGTTTAAAAAGTTTTTCCTATTATAATCATTTTAACTTCACTTGGTGCGTTAACTTGATTACGAATTCGGCACTCATGAACTAGTTATAACAACTTTTTATGAACCAATTTGGATCTTTCTTGAGCAGGATTTAGTTTATTTTTAATTTGTTGAATGAGATCAAAAATTTTCAATGAGGGTCCAACTTTGTAACCGGTAATTTCAATTACTTGGGCCTCCGTAAGATTTAATAACGTTTTTCCGTCAACTTTACGATTGCTAAAATTATCACAATAAGCTGAATAGTCATTAACTTGTAAGAACTGGGAAACGTCAAAAATACTCCATTCTAAAGGTGCTAGTTCTCCAGTTTCTAAATTTTTTGGGATACCGTCTGCTATTCTCGGAATATATTTTCCATTTTTTGCAGTTTCCACTTGTTCCATTGATGGTGCCTATAATATAATAATTGAAATATTAGACGTATACAAATATATTATGAATATAGATCATTGTTATAAAGGCCTAATCTTTCACGTTTTTTTTCGTAAATGGAATCATCTCATTTTACTCAAAAATTCAATTGAATGAAAGTATTAAGAAACTAATTTGACAAATTTTGAGATAAGTTGCGAATTCAATAGACTTACGTTTTCATACGACTTTGTAGTGACGGTAGTTTTTCTTTTTTTCGGAGAATCGCAACTGAAAATTTGTTGGGGAAGTTTATCAGACGGACGCAACATGCTGTACTGTAGTGGGGAATCTGATATTTTGCTTCGGTCACTCGTGAGAGCTGGTAAAGCCTGATCCGGTCCTGCGGGTTCCAATGCTGGCTCGGGTCCCAAGGATTGCTCAGGTATGCTAATAACATCACTTCTTTGACGATGTACTTTCGAACCTTGTGATGGACCATTTTCACTATTCTTTTTCTTAGGCACTTGTGTTTCCAGCTGCTGTTGTTGGTGTAACATTTCGGCTTGACGTGCCATTAATGATCTTGTCAGCGGAGCTTTCTGATTCATGTTTCTACGTGATTTTCTTTTAAATTTACGTTTGAAATTTCTCGGTGATTTTCCGGCTATAGAAAATTTAAGTTTTCTTTTATACAAACAATTTTTATTTGAAAAAAATATTTGAAATTGTGATATATTTACCATTAGGGCTTATAGTTTTGCCTGTATATTGCCGTGGGCCTTCAAGTTTGTGCTCAACAAAATCACACCAACCTACAGGGTATATGTCAGGACTTTGGCAATCTAACCATTGATCATATTCATCCCCCCATCCATCGAAATGAATTTTAAGTAACCTTCCTATTATTCTTGTGACCGTTGCAACGCAAACTAATCGAGGATCCATTAGATCAGCTGCTTCCAACCTCATTCCTTCAACAAAACCGTGTTGAAGAGTTTTCTGAAAAATCAGTTTTATTAATAAAAAAGAACAGGACAAAATTGATTAAGTATTTGGTTTAACTGTATAATTATTCACCCTTTCAAATAGAACCATAGGCGCAGGCACTGCATTCGTTTCGGCTAGATATGTACTCCAGTCGAACGTTGTACTATCATATTCTTTAGGCGGTGTCAATGGTAAACCATGTTGAGCGCAAAATCCAACGGGAAAAATACAAGGAGAACAAGAGTGGTAACAAAACCAATCTGAACCGTTCTCCGCTGCCGGGTAACTATCGATGCGAATCATAATATAACCATCTCGTAAAACTCGCATTACGGTAGCTGCACAAATTGCAGATAAATTTAGAGGATCAATTGCTTCAATCTTCATGCCCTCGCGAAATGCATAACCTTGGGGAATGGATTTTACGAGTTCATTTTCAGGTACAACAAATAAATTACTTGTCGCATCTTCCGGTCTGTGAAAAAAGAATCATTTTTACTTCTTATTTCTGATAGAAGTACTTTATATAGACTAGAAAATTTTCAATTTACATAAGTTTCCCACTGTTGACACGCTCTAAGTATTCTGGATAAGCATCAATGTTGTGACCAACTTGTTTGGCCCATCCAACAGGATGTATAAGAGACGAATCCTCGTGACACCAGAATCCATTATCTTCTGGGGGTGAGTCGTAGTATCGAACGTGTAACCTTTTTCCAACAATTTTTTGAACTGTTGCTACCTTAACTTGGGAAATACAATTTTTGTCAACGACTTCAAGATGTGTACCACAAACAAAACGTGATTCTGAACTAGCAATCACTCTCGCATAGAAATGAGTCGGTAATGTTCGTGCTCCCGAAAGACGTCGCAATAAAAGCATTTTCCAGTCGCAGAATTTATCTTTTATAGCTGTTGATTACAAATAATACATGTTTAAAATTAAATCGTACTTAATACTCTTTTTTTAATACGAAAAAAAGCAACTTACTTTTGGGCGGAGTTAAGATTTTACCAATGCTAGCACACCATCCAACAGGATGGATGTCATTTGAACATAGAGAAACCCAGAAGTCTTTTGATGCATCATCACCAAAGCCCTCATATCTTAATAAAGCTCGATAGCCAGAAATGCGAAGGACTGTTGCTACCCAAAATGAAGTAGGATATTCTTCGCCAATTTCATCACTGTCAGTGTTTTCTACTTCAACTTTCATTCCCACTGATAGATCATCCCATATATCAGATATAGGAGCCTGTACAACAACAACACATACAACAATTACAAAAATTATGTCAATGTGAATGCCAAAAATAATAATTCAAAGCCTTACATGTCTGAAACACGAAACTGGAGCTGCACAGAAACCAAAAGATAATAGTTCCGGAGTCCAGTCGTAGGACGTGGCCATTTCTGGTTTTCGTTTTCTTCTTACTGGTATGTGTTCAAGTACTAGTAAGGGCTCTTTTTGCAATTTTAATTGTTCATTTTTAAAATCTTTATTATTTGTTAATTCTTCTTTAATGGTAACCTGTGAAAAAAAAACAATTTTATCTCTATCCTGAATTTATATAGTTTGTATTTAAATAAAATAAAAAATTATGCTCTTTTTCTGAGAGTATAGCAACAATAATACTTTATGAATTGAAATAGAGGGAAAAAATTAATTTAAATTATTTTGTTATCAATTCTACATATCCATTGCAGCATTGTTACAAAATTAAAAATGTATTAGGTGTGATGCCTTACATTTGATGCTGCCTTTCCTTCTTTTGTGGTATTATTTTGTGATTTATCTCCTTTAAGCTCAGAAGAAAAAGAAGAACTATTTGAAGAATCAGCTTGAAATAATGAAGAATCAGATGACCGTGCACAAGCACGACTGCAGAACCTCCTTTCTTTTGTGTAGAAAGCATGCTTAACGCCAATGGCACCACATTTTTCACATACCGCTGAAAAATAAATGATTAAAATCATTAGGGATAAGATAAATTTCAAAGTAGCATATTTTTTCATACAAGTACAGCGAAAAAAATAATAACTTCCATACCTATTCCATCTTTACGTATTGGAATGAAATTCATGTCAGTGTGTGGCTGATAAGCTATTGGAGTTTTTAATACCAAACCAGGGTGTTTTATTGGCTTAATTTTCTTATTGCGTGGATCATTGGTTTGTGTAGCAGCATTGTTTACCTCTTGATCTGGATCCTGATCTTCCTCCAGGTCTGGATCTTGATCAGGATCTTGATCCTGATCTTGATCTTGATCTTGATCTTCGCAAACTATATAATCGTCAAGCCCCAAGTACTCACTCATTTCAGCGTCGCCTTGAGTATATTCCTAATTTAAAGAAAAGTAATTCAATTAAATTCTTTTCCACATTTTCATTCATTTTTATTACGACATTAATATTTACTGGTTGTATATCTTGGACGACTGCCCCATCCATAGACTCCTGTGCCTCAGAACAAGTGTTTGCATATTGTGGAGTTAAATATCTCACCATGGCTGTTGGTGGAATCTGATGATTTCGTATGTCTTCAAAAGAATGACCCGTAGCAAAATAAGAATTTTCAGTTTGACGTGGATCGATCATTAATTCTTGTGAAGGATCATTTTGAATCATCATGTCACTCATCCACACCATTCCTAGTTCAGGCATGCCAGGAATAGTTGTGAAAACTAAAATAAATAAAAAGAAAGTTTTAATAAAAATGTATAAATACTTAGTGATTATTATTATTATTATTATTATAGAAATTACTGAAAGGATTTTATATTCTCAAAAAACTAAAAAAGACTATTAGTATTTATTAAGAAGTAAAAACCTTTTAAGAATTCTTAAAGGTTACTGGTATAACTAAACAATGCTTTTTTCACTTTGACTTTATTAACTTTAATGAGAAAATGTATCTTCAATCGATTGACTTTGATGTGTCATCTCCAAAGAAAAAGATGACGATTTTATAGTTAAAAAATGTTAGTTTTCCATTGCAATGTACGGAACAATCAGCGCGTTCGAAACTGTTAGTGATGTTTATAAAAATAAAAAATCAACAGATACTTTCGTACCCTGGCCATTGGGAAAAGCGTACATCGCGCAACTTTGTTGACACTATGCAAACTTCTCGTAAAAATTCTCAAATTTGCACTTTAATCCGGCCACAAGAACTAGCATCTAATGTCACACGAATGTCTACTTTGTTTGCGTACGAGCGAGATTTCATCCACATGCCACATTTTTTCTCTCAAAGACTGTCTTGTCTCGCGATTCAAAGCACATACGCAACATCATATTATGTTAATTGTGTACACTTCTTGACTCCGAACCTAACCTTTTCTATTCGTAACGAGAGCCCAAACATTGGCACATATACACGATCGTTCTGTAGCGGAGAAAGAGCACATGAACTTTACGTGTATATAGACAGTGCAAATATATACGCGAAATTCAAGTCTTGGCCGTATTGAGGAGTTCAAGTGTGCCCGATGCCGCGAGAGATCCGCGAGTATTCAAAAGCACGATTATCCTCGATACGCAATGCTATTATTGTGAGATACTATACAGTTCGGTGCGAACGTGTTGTTTATGCCTAGATCACATCATGCAAGCGCATATATACCCAAACAAGCTCGTAAAAATGTTTTTATCTCGCGTCAAGTCAGACAGAAAGAGAAAGAGAGAGAGAGAGATACATTTTATAAACTAATGCGTAATGAACGTCCGAAGAAAAACCGAAGAGGTACGAGAGAAGGGAGAGATATACAAAAGTTTTTTCTCAATTGCAACAAAACACATACCGTTGGGGGTCTGCATCATTTTAGCGGCGTTATTTGTGCGCGTGTGTGTGTGTTTTTATGCACTCTTCGAAAACTTCGAACGATTCCAGTCGGATAAGATCTGTACCACTCTTTTTTTTAATTCTTCTCATGAAACGCCAAATAATTTTGTCCTTTTTTTTGGCACGATGCACACGCGATGTATATATAATCGGAGCGCGCGGAGAGCGAAAACTTCCTAACGCGCGTCACCGGCGATCTCGACGATGCTGTTGATTATTGTTGCACTGCTGCTGCTGCTGCGACGACGAGGAGGATGCTGTCCTCGCTACTGCTGCTCTTTTTCCAAGGGTTGAGGATTTCTTCATATTAGAGTACGATGAAAATCGTCCCGGCGGCTAGCGCACTCGAAGAATGACCGTGTTGACCGTAGTCGCTGCTTCATTTTTTTTTCATACTTATTCTTTTGCTTTGTGCGTGTGCGTTTGCGTTTACGGCGGCGGCGGTGGTGTGTTTTGTGCTCGCGTTCGAGCGCAAAAAAGTACGCGGCACGCGCGCATCAAAAATTTCTCTATATAATACACAAACGATTGATGCGCGTATATTTGTGAGTTTGTTTGTGTATGTGTCGTGTATGTATACACAACAATGCGACCGCCGCTCGCGCGACGCAATGCTCCCCTCCACTGTTTAATGCGGCCCTATGTTTTCGCGTTGCACAGCTTGCAGCCTGATCTGCAAAGCGAAGTCGTAAAACTTCGATCATGTATAGGTTTGCTAATGTTAGGCTTGGTCTGTAAAGTACTTCGCTGAGAGATGTTTGAATGACTTATTTTTCGAATTATTAATATTATCTTGAAATATTTGGAAAGTTTCATTTCATTTTTTATGAATCGCTTAAAACCTAAAAGTAGGCGTCGTTCTCGTCAGCGGAGATTCTTAAAAACAGACTCCTTATTCGAGCATGCATGCGTCGATCATTTATTTTTGTTTTCATAGGGTTTCGAATCTAGAATTCGAATGTACCGTTTTACAGGACCAAAAATAGGAGACACATGATTAGTAGAACGATAAACAGATACATTCTTGACTAAAAATAATTGTCACTCGATACCGCACGCATCCTGCGCTTTTACGATCGTCGTGTAATGTATACGCCGCGCGCGGTGACATCTGATTTCTCGACCCCGCCCCTCGCTTCTCGATGCACTTTTTCTAACTATAGCAATGTAACGCGGTTGTACCGGGCATTCGGGCTGTACTTTGACGAATTGTCATCGTTGACAATTGCCGCCGATATGTGGTTAATTTGAGATAAGAGATACCCACCAGCGCCACCTCGCACGCATATAATTTATTGCTACGAGATTTTTCGGTTGCTCGATTGACAGACACAACATCGGGCATTTAAACGTTAACATCTGTTTTTTGTCTGGAAAAAAAATAGCGCCTACATAAATGCTCGGTTAGATCATCACCGCTAGAGCGAGTCGGGGCCCTAAATGTTGATCGAATTTCATCGTCCGTTTCGTAAGAACTCGCTGGAAGCATCGAAAATAGAGGGAGGCATGAGAGAGGGGACGCGGCCCCGTCAAACTGCAAACTTCCAAAATTTCAATGATACAGTTGCTTTTCTCTTATTTAATGAGAGGCCTTGTAACAAGTGCTCTATCCACGACTCGGTTGACTTTGGCATCCAGTCGAGCTCCTACTGCTGCGTGAGAAAGAAAAGAAAGCTGAGAGACTCTTGTTATTTCTTCAAGGAAAAGTCTTGAAAAACGGATTATTATTGATTGTTTTATTGATTTAGAAACAAAAAACAAAACCTACTTGTTCAGGTACAGTGATATAAATTGATTAGTCTTAAATTAATTTCTAAAACCTAGTTGAAGATTGTTATTGTCATTTTTTCAGAATGGTGACTTGTACGGACCCACTTGTTTTTCTTGACTTTGCTGTAAATGATGAGAAAATAGGAAGAGTGGTTATTTCATTATTTAAGGATAAATGCCCTTTAGCCTCAGAAAATTTCAGAGCGCTATGCACCGGTGAAAAGGGAATTGGAACCAAAGGAAAACCTTTGCATTATAAGGGATCACGAATTCATAAATATATACCTCAGCTTATGTTGATCGGAGGAGATATAATTGATTTTAATGGAAACAGCGGTGAAAGTATTTATGGAAGTGACTTTGAAGATGAAGATCTCAAAACGATGCATGATACAGAGGGATTTATTAGCATGGTTAATCGTGGTGTACCAAATTCCAACAATTCACAATTTGTTATAACATTAAATTCTTGTCCTCAGTTAGATGGAAACAATGTCATCTTTGGTGTAGTGCGTGCAGGTTTAAAAGTATTGAAGGATATTGGAGAATCTACAAACGTATGTGATGACAAGCCAATGGATAAAATTGTAATAGTAGACTGTGGTGAATTAGGTGCTGGTGAAAATTGGGGTTTAGATGATAATGATGGTGTAGATAAATATGTAACTTATCCAGAAGATTGGAATATTGTTAATTCAAACAAACTTGAATTCGAAAAAATTCTAAATATTATTAAAGAAATTAAGGGTTTTGGCAATGCTTTCTTTGTAAAGATGAAATATGTAAAAGCAGAAAAAAAGTACAAAAAAGCACTTAGGTATTACGAATATATGATTAATATGGAAGAGTTTGTGGAAAATGAAAATAATGAGGAAATAAAAGAATTAAAATGTATTTTGCTATTGAATTTAGCTACTGTAAAACTTTACCAAAAACAATATAAAGAAGCACATAAATTAAGTACTGATGTTATAATGTTGGATCCTAATAACTATAAAGGATTTTTACGAAGAGGACAAGCGTATGTTGGATTGGGTGAATATGAAAAAGGATTGGAAGACTTTCAGAAAGCTAATGAGATAAACAGTTTGGATGAACATGTTTTAAAAGAAGTAGAGAAAGCTAAAATCTTGATAAAATCTTATAAATCATCAGAAAAAGATTTATACAAGCGGATGTTTAAATAAAAGACAGTAATCTTTTGTAACATTATTGTAATATCAATCATGTAAAAATGTTTGCAATTTTGATAAATTTATTGTATAGTTAAAGTCAAAGATGTAATATAATTATAGTAAGAATATTTCTGAACTGTATTGCTTGAAATATTATCTAATGAAACATACATATAATAAAAATGAACTTTGCAATATCAACTAAATTTTAATGTTAAAATTTAATGTTGAAATTTTTCAAATTTTGGACTTTTTTGTTACTTTTTCTGGAAAGCCAAGAAAAATAACTTCTACTAAATAAAAGTGTATAAATATTTCTGAAATTCCATGATTTTTCAATACCTTGAATACCTGCAATAAAATTATTTAGATTTTTTAAAAGAAACATATGGTATCTATCAAAGACAAAAGTAAAATTTTACTCTTTAGTTTCATTCAAAAACTAGGTAATTCAATGATACAAGAATGTAAAATAATTGTCACATTTTATATTGTATTTTAATACATTCTAACTAATTTTTTTTAGATAAAACAGACTTTAATAAATAAATTTTTAGTTCATCACATCTGACTACAAAATAAATAATGTGTTCAAATCAAAAAGTATACATTTTGAAGCTTTAATTCCTTGTAATTTAATTTCGTGTTGCTTTGGCTGCAACTTCAAAAAGTTGTGACAGTTAAATGACCTGATTTAGCGCCGCATATGCTGACGAAACCGCACAAAACTGGTCCATCATCCATGTGTTCAACAATAAATAAAAGGATTGGACATTTGTCATAGAATTACTGTCAAAATGAAGGTTCTATCGAATCCTAACAACCCAAATTCATTGAAGCTAGTTATTGCAGCTTCGATTTCTGGCAAAAAGTTGAAAATTGATTACACAGCCGAATCTAAGCGTGAGTTTTTACACATAACCTTCGTGAAAACGCCGATATGATGCGGCTGCTATATTGCATTTATCAACAAATTGTCAAACATGCTCTATTCCACTTAGAAAATATTATTTATAATTCAAGATTTTTCTTTATCTAAATGAATGTACTTTGCTAGTAGCAAGTGACTGTCTTTCATGAATATATTATGGAGATTGTCCTGTTTTTCTTGAATATTAGAGAATTCTTTTAAAAATATAAATTATTTTACAGAAAGTTCTCTTCATCGATTACCAATTTTAAAAGATGAAGAACAAGGAATTGAATTATTCAGTTTAAGCGCAGCTGTACAATATCTTGCTCCACTTAGCACAAATAATTCTGTTATTGCTAACAGATGGCTCGAATGGGAAGCATGTCAATTGCTGGTATTTATAATGTTACATTTGCTTTTTATATAAAATGTTAATGTTAATAAATTAATTAATTATAATTAAATCTGATTCATAGCCAGCGATTACTGCTTATGGTGGCACTGGAAAAATAGATTTATCTCACAAGCCAAGAGTATGGTCATTATTGAAAGAATTAGATTCAACTTTAAAAAATAGCCAGTACTTAATACAGGTATGAAAATTTATTAAATTAGAAATAAATATTTTCATAATAAGTTAATGGAATTTTAATCAACATTACAATTCTATCACAGGAACAAAGTGATATTAATGTTGTGGATTCATCAATTTGGGTAACATTGTGGTCAACATTAATTCCTACAAAAATTGGAGAAGTGATACCCCAAGAATTTCCAAATGTCAATAAATGGTTGCTTCTAATAGAAAATTTACCAATTATTCAACAGTCATTAAAGAAAGTTACTATAGAAAGAGGACTTCCTGCTATAGTAGCTGTTAATGCAGTATCATGGTATCCTATCAACTCATACTCAGGATCTGAAAAACCTCAGAGTAAAACATCGAAAATTTCTGAGGTAAAATTAAAAACAAAATGTTATAAATATATATTATTTATTTAGAGGTGTTTCCTTTGCATGGAAGGTCGGAAATAAGTTACAACATGTTTAGAATTTGATGGATGTAGGTACCTAACAGATCCCTAAGATCGTACATTACACAAACGTAATGCAAATAAAAAAGTATAAAATCTTGTCAAGAAAAAAGTGCATGTTGCTTTTACTCATTATTTATTATTCCTTATCTTATATTGATATGGAAAAGATTTAATTTATTATGTTTTTTAATACTAGGTAACTTGCAATGAAGAAAAAGAAGATAAAGCTGTCTCGCAAGAAGAGTTAAATTCTGTAAAAAATAATTGGACATCTGTACCTTTCTTAGATTACAAAGAGTCAGCTTATCCGGTGTAAGTACTAATGTTTTTGTTTCTTATTTTTTATAAGCAACTTTAATCAATTAATTTAATTTTATAGATTACCTAAAAAAGACGAAAGAAATGTTTTAATTACATCTGCTCTTCCTTATGTAAATAATGTTCCTCACTTAGGAAATATTATTGGATGTGTACTTTCTGCAGATATTTTTGCTAGGTAATATATCAATTTCAAATACTTGTTAATCTAAAATACTAAATCTAAAATACCATGTATTTTATTGAAGAACTTCAATAATTTGTAAATATTTTATTTTAGGTATTGTCGGCAAAGAAATTATAATACCCTCTACATTAGGTATGTTAATATTAAAACCGTTAATCAGTAATAATAGTTGCACTGTGAAATAATTTCCATATTTTTTTTTAGTGGAACTGATGAATATGGTACTGCAACTGAAGCTAAAGCTTTAGAAGAAAAATTAACACCTCAGCAAATCTGCGATAAATATTTCAATATTCACAATGATATATACAGATGGTTTAGCATTGGTTTTGATTATTTCGGTAGAACGACAACACCAGAACAAACTGAGTAAATAAAAATGCTTGAACATTTACAATTTCCTAAATATTTGAAATTTATGATAAAATTCTATCTTTTAGAATAGTACAAGCTATGTTTTTGAGAATAAAAGAAACAGGCTACGTTATATCTAATTCAGTTGATCAACTTTTGTGTGAGAAGTGCGATAGGTTTTTGGCAGATAGATTTGTTGAAGGAGTTTGTCCTGGATGCAAATATGAAGATGCCAGAGGAGATCAATGTGATGGTTGTGGGCATCTTGTAAATGCAACTGAATTAATAAATCCAAGGTGTAAAGTTTGTAGCACTACACCAATTATCAAGGCATCAACGCAATTCTTTTTAGATCTACCTAAAGTGAGAAACTGAAAATTTATAAAAATTATAATGCTCATGAATTTGTCAATAAAAAATTCATTTTTTAGATTCAAAATAATTTGAAAGAATGGGCAAATAAAGTTGAAGATGGATGGACACCAGTGGCTCGAGCTGTTACTAAACCTTGGTTGCGAGATGGCTTAAAGCCTAGATGCATTACAAGAGATTTAAAATGGGGAATTCCAGTTCCTCTTGATGGATATCGGAATAAAGTATTCTATGTTTGGTTTGATGCCCCTATTGGATACCTCAGTATTACTAAAAAATATACTAAAGAGTATGAGAAATGGTGGAAACCGAAAGATTCCAAAGTTGATTTATATCAATTTATGGCTAAAGACAATGTTCCTTTCCATGCAATCATGTTCCCAGCAACTCTCATGGCTGCAAATGAAGGTCATACTCTTGTGAAACATATCATGGCCACAGGTAAAAACTTTCCTAGTTATTCGATTTTTTCATTATTAAGTTTAAAAAACATATTTATTTTTCGAATTTTGTAGAATATCTTAATTATGAGGATACTAAATTTTCCAAGTCACGAGGAATAGGTGTATTTGGCACGGATGCTAGAGACACAGGTATTCCAGCTGATGTTTGGCGGTTCTACCTTGCCTATATTAGGCCTGAAACTATGGATTCAAACTTCAACTGGATTGATTTAGCTACAAAAAATAATAGTGAATTACTTAATAATTTAGGAAACTTTATAAACAGGTAAATCATGAACAGTAAATAAATTTCTATAATTGATTAGATTGATGAATTAAAAATTGACGATTTTTCAGAGCTCTATCATTTGCAGACAAAACTTTTAATGGAACTGTCCCAGCTATTGATTTGAAAGAAGATGATTTAAATTTCTTGGCATTAGCTCAACGGGAATTGACATCTTACGTTAATTTACTTGAACAAGCTAGATTACGTGATGCTTTAAAACATGTTTTAATGATTTCTAAACATGGTAATCAGTACATGCAGTACCAACAACCATGGGTAAAAGTTAAGGGAAATGACGAAGACAAGTATGTAATAAAACAAGTTTTTCTGTTGAATTTAAAAAAATCGTATCTTATTGTGAATAATTAATTATAGGAAAAAAGGAGCTACTGTAATTGGATTATGCTGCAATATAGCGTGTCTTCTTGCATCTCTTATTGGCCCATTCATGCCAAACACCGCACGAGAGTTAAGATCACAACTTGGTTTATCAGTTCAAACTTATGGTTACATTCCAAATGTAATATCATTGATGATTCCATGTGGCCATAAGCTTGGAAAACCGAAACCATTATTTGCTAAAATTGAAGATAAACAAGTAGAAGAACTTCGCCAAAAGTATGCTGGAAAACAAAATTCTGAAACCATTAAAAAAAATAATCTAGCTTTAGATAATGCTGCTTTAGATAAGGTTGCACTAGAAGCTGCAATTGAAAAACAAGTAAGTTCACATATGAACATAACTTAATTGAAAAAAAAATTGTCCTTTCAATTAAATAATCTCTAAAATGAAATTAATTTTCTTTAGGGTAATCTAGTAAGAGAGTTGAAGGCTAAAGGTGATAAAAGTGTATGGCAACCTGAAGTTAATATTCTTTTAGATTTAAAAAAAAAATTAGCTAATCTTGCAAGCTCATCCAAAGCTCAAACAAATGCAGCATCTGATACTGATGCATCTGCTCTTGAAGCGGCCATTCAAAAACAGGTACAGTAAGATAAAAATGATTAATTTTCAAATGAAAAACCTTTTTAAATTATAACAATTCATTATTATTTTTTTAAAGGGCAACCTAGTTCGAGAGTTAAAGGCTAAAGGTGATAAAAGTGTATGGCAACCTGAAGTTAATATTCTTTTAGATTTAAAAAAGAAATTAGCTAATCTTGTTGCAAGTTCACCCAAGGCTCAAACAAATCCTGCATCTGATACAAATGTATCTGCTCTGGAAGCTGCCATTCAAAAACAGGTACAAAAAAATAAATATGATAAAATTTTCAAATGAAATTGATTTGAAATGACATCAATCTATAATTATTTTTTAAAGGGCAACCTAGTTCGAGAGTTAAAGGCCAAAGGAGATAAAAGTGTGTGGCAACCGCAAGTAGATATTCTTTTGGATCTTAAAAAGCAATTGGAAGCTTTCAAGCCATCATCAGCTGCAACATCCAGCAATAGTAAAAAATCCAAAAACAAGAAATAAGTCCTTTGACAGATGAATGTTCATTTTTTAAATTGTTAGCTGTTTTATGTGAATTTAGTGATGCATTCAATTGCAATATCACATGAATAATGTTCAGTAACATTTTATACTCTTTTACTTTTCTCTGCGTCTAACAGTTTTAAATGTTTATCAGTGGATGAAAGTTATTTTGTGAGACAATAAGACCCAAACCTGATCTGTGACCATAAAAAATAATTTTTAAAACAATTCACATTGTCTTATTGCTCCTTTTTTTAAAAATACTATTTAAATTCTAAGCACGTCTACGTTATCAACAAAATTCATTTATTTTACATCTGTATCCCAGCGAACAACTACCAAACGTCAGAACAGCGTGTCAAACGAGCGGATATTTTCGTTTTTCACCGGTATTATAACGCGTTGACGCAAGCGCAATTTCGCGCAGCAGCTCAAACAAGTAGATATCGCTAATCCATCGCGGGCATAGCTAATTTTTCGGTCAAATCTATTCGTGCATGCCGTATCTAGGTCTGCCACGACGAATCGGACGCAAGCGGGCAAAACGTAATCTGTGAAAAAATGTAAAATTTTTCGAATCGGTCCCGCACTCGAGGCATCGTCGTATACGCGCCTATCCGTACCTTTGCGTTATTATACGTTAAAACGCATTGATTGCGAATTAGCATGTGGTGATGCGCGTAGGTGAGGATTCGCGTATGCATGTATGCAACTCGAATCTCGATGCATGCACGTATCGAAGACGCATGACACAATAGAATTGGCAATCGCCAAAACAAGTATACACACAACGACGATCCGAGCGTATAATGAGTTAAAAGCGGCCTATCGTGTAAGAAATTCGCACAAGACTGAAAATTCACCAATGTATACGTGCTGAAAAACGGCGTCGTTGTGACAATATACGTACTCGTGGACACCACCGTGCAATATAACTCGACTGCTCGTAACGCGACATCGCTCCTGCGATTAATTAATACATTGTGTCTACTAGCCAATTAACAAATAAACGCCTACTCACAATCATCAATGAACGAACTTCGATTTTGGGCCGAGATAACGACGCCGGGAAGGTGGAAAAATTTCGACTGAGGCCGTATAAACAATTCCTTTTTCAAGGTTATAAATTACAGATGAGGTTTGTAATGTCTGTTATCCTATACTCTCGATACTTAAACGGAGTAGCTACAATACATTCGATAGAATAAGCCACCGTATTGGCGATTTTTTAACGTTTTATGTTATTCTTTCCATGCTGAATTGCTTCTTTAATAACAATTACATTGTAAATGAATTTCAATCAATCATTAAATTAGTTATTGCTGCATTGTATTTCAAATGAAACCAGTTATTTTTAAAATCTCGAAGATAATCATTGAAAAAAAAACGAGGAATTAATGTCTTTGAACAGTTTTTTATGTATTTTTTGAAAGATATACAATTCTCCAATTTTTCTAACTGTAATTTTTTGCTTTTATTTACAGAGCAGAGGAAATTGAGAGTCTACCAGTGTCGAATCACAATAGTTGATCAATATTGAAAAAATTACAACATGTACTGTGTACAGTGGTTAATACCAGTGCTTCTCATACCAAAGCCGGTGAATCCTGCTTTACTGCAGACACATGTTATGTTCATGGTTCTATATCTCATTGGGTTCTTCCTGGAACGAAAGCCATGCACTGTATGCAGCCTAGTTTTTCTGGTAACAGTGTTTCTTATTTGTTACAGTGGATTCGGTAACTGCATCTTTTGGAGTAATAATTGTGATACTGTGCGGTGTGATAACGGATAAGGCCCTAAATTTTTAAAAAATCAATGATATAGTAATTTTCATTAGGTATAATTATGACTGTAATAAATTTGTGCTGTTTAAATAATGAATTAAAAGTATATTTAATGAACATCTAATTTTGTATCTGCTCAATGAGACGTTGGCTATCTCCAAATGTAAATATATACAAAACGCAGCATTGGCAAGAATTATAGACTAAGTGCAAAATTTGAATAAAAATTGTAAATAGTTAACTGCCCACTGATATTTAAAACTATTTAGACCGGTCATGGAAAGCATGCATGTGCTTATTCTATAAATATCTTGTACATTAAATGTATTTAAAATACATAATGAACCTTAAAGTTATTTGAGAAAAAAATTATTACAATTTTAAATGTATAAGCAGCTTATTGGAAAATTAAATTCATTGACTTGCTATACAATATGTAATATATCAAAAATTGTATCATATATTTTAAAAAGTTGGTATTTTCTTTTCCAAAAGTTTTAGGTAAGAATCTTCCATCATGTCGATCATTATATTTTCAATGTAAATATAAAATCTTACGCTGGAATTGATTATGAGCATAACGATTATTGATTTACTGTTAGAAAAAAAAATTGTTAAAGTATTGTTTCCAGTACAAAATGATTTGTTATTTTGAATGATAGAGATAGCTTTGTATCTAAATGACTTTAGAAATATTTGTAAGTGAACAAAGCTTAATTCTAATAAAAAAACACGATTTCTGCCAAAGTAATTTCTTATAATCTTCAATTTTCCTTCATTTTCTTTCTTATAAAAATAACATAATTTTGCAGCAAAGTTTTGAAAAGAACAAGAAAACTCATACAAAATAGATAAAAATTTTACCTATTTTATTAATTTTGGAGTACGACGATTCATGGCCATTGTAGTATAATGTTGGTACATTTTTTTGGGTTTCGTATAAATTTTTCGGCGCTCAAATGAGAACTTTTAAATATGGCAAGTATTTTTTCGCGCTGTAAAAAGGTCCTGCTATTTGAAACCTATAATTAATTAATGCATTTTAATTCTGTTTCAACTCCAATGATATCGTGGCAAAAAAGAAATTTTCTAAGATTAAGTTGATGCCATATCGACGTGAATCGAAATAAATTATTGATATTGAAGAATAATAATCGTTCGTTAAAATTTTTATTATTTTTTTATCATAATCATAATTATGAAATGATGGCTCGTTTGTATTGTTGTTTCTTTTAACGGAGACGTGGTCTTTTTGGCTTTGGCACTGGTTGTACAAGATTCTCTTCGTCTGTTCGCAAGTATAAACTCAATAGATCCTTGAAACTCATTTTTTCGGCAATTATCCGGCAAATTCAATTTACAGTAATCAGTCATAAACAGATCTGTTACGAACAATTCCAAATCTGGCCTTATCAATGCATTTGCTTCATCTTTTTTTAAAAGAATCGTATTGAAATAGCTAACTCCTATCCCTATGTCTGGTAATCAAGTTCAATCGGAAGCCGGCCGACTGCAATAGTTCCATCAACTTTTATCATGTTCACAATTAAAGGATAACTTTCCAATTAGAATCTTTCAAAATCCATAGCAAACACTGTGTCTTCGTTCAAACTGTTCATGTTTGCCCCGTGCTTCAAGAGCGAACGCGCGAGTTCAACGTCTCGAAGCGTGCCACAGCCACGTGCAAAGCACTCTCTCCATATCGATCGTGTGCTTCGATATTTGCTCCTTTCTCAATGAGCATGTCGATGATCTCATCGACTGGTTTTTTGTGCATAGTGCATATCCGTTAACCCGTAGGAAAAATTATTTTCTGTACGAATATATTGGGCCTGTGCGTCGTCCGTGGCGCCCCCACTTTGGAAGCATTTCCCATGTTATTTCTTATGAGGAGAAATTTAGTTCGGTGAGCGCCGCTGGTATAATTGGAAATCATTTTCATAAGAGCACATGTTAACCCATTAACGCGCAAAAGTGCAATTTTGTGCATGAATTTTCCGTTGTAAAAAAATTATGGATAAAGTTAAAATATTTTCTTGAAAATCCATACCCAAGGGTTTTTGGGTATGCTCTTTCAGTATCCGGTATTATTTTTGCGATAAATAAACATTATCATCGTTTATTTTGCCATTAAAAACAAAAAACGTGATTTTTTGACTCGCAATTTTTTTTCAAAGTCGATTTTCTACCTTGCCTTGCCTTCGGAGGGTTCCCATAACACCAGAAATCGTGCACTTTTTCTCTGAACCTTCAAAAAATGCGCTGCCGCGATTTTTATCTTGCCCCTATATTTCTAAAATGGCTAATTTACACCGGGCAGTGGTATAAAAATTCACTCATTTTTTACTCAGAACCTATTTTACATGCGCTAAATATGAACTCAAAAGTACAATTTGGAGTGTGAAAACTTATTTGAAATCGTTTAGAGAATACGTGTGTTTTTTTTCAGAATTTTTCAGACCACTTTGAAAATTTTGCAAAATACGACTATTTTCCGGCCTGTCGAAAAAATCCAAAATGTTCCAAAAAAATCTGACAAATTCTGAAAAAAATTATTGAAAAATTCTGAAAAAAAATCACATGTATTCTTTGAACAAATTTGAACGCTTTTCATTGTATGACTTTCTTTTATAAAGTCAATAATTTACAAATAAAAAATGAGGCAATTTTCATATCGCTACTCAGTATAAATTAGCCATTTTAGAAATATAGGGGCAAGATAAAAATCGCGGCAGCGCATTTTTCGAAGGTTCAGAGAAAAAGTGCACGATTTCTGGTGTTATGGGAACCCTCCGAAGGCAAGGCAAGGTAGAAAATCGACTTTGAAAAAAAATTGTGAGTCAAAAAATCACGTTTTTTGTTTTTAATGGCAAAATAAACGATGATAATGTTTATTTATCGCAAAAATAACACCGGATACTGAAAGAGCATACCCAAAAACCCCTGGGTATGGATTTTCAAGAAAATATTTCAACTTTATCCATAATTTTTTTACAACGGAAAATTCATGCACAAAATTGCACTTTTGCGCGTTAATGGGTTAATATCGACGCCAGCGCTTCTAAGCTGATGACGCAGGTTGCATCGGGTCATAAAGATAAATTTCTTTAGTACAGCAATTTCCCTTATAAAAACGTACGATAGGATTTCAGTAGAAATTTCGCGGGGTCCTTTAGTAAGTATTTATAAGGGAAATTGCTGTACTGAAGAAATTTATCTTCACGACCCAATGCAACCTGCGTCAAGAATCTTTTTTATCATTATGTTTTCATTGATGCATTCATTTATCGATTTATTTGTTTATTATACTTTTTTTGTTGAAAAAAGGGTGTAATGTGATTGGATGTCAATGTCTTCACATAAAGGCCCTCATAGTACACCTCACAGTAACACAGTAACCCTTAAATGGTGTAAATGGAACATATTTAATCCATTGAAGAGGTAAGATGATTCCAAATAATTTAAAAAATTTGTACTGATCTTATGTGTTAAATACACAATTACCATTTCATAAATTTTTGAATTTTCAACTAGTCCAACAATAATTGATCCCAGTATGAAGTTGAGCGTGCATGAAACTTTGTTAATTATATACTTCAAAGGTAAAAATGAATGAACCTTCAACCTACCGTTGTGTCTCTCATATTTTGCTTAGAGTTTATTTTTGTATATTTTTATTGATCACTGATCAAATTATACATGTTCGAATTATCAGGGTAATTTTAAATTATTGTGCATCAAAATATGATAGATGTTTTATATTTTATTTTTTCGTTTTATTAATTTACGTTAGATAAATAAACACGTGTGTAAAGAGACGTACGAAACAATTTCACTACGTCGCCGCCCTGTGATTTAAATAATAATTTTGACAAATGCCCTGTAGGTGTCGCATCAATGTTTTGGCGCTAAACTGATGAACTTTTCATATTATGATTCATGGTGCAAGTCTGCTGCAAAAAGCCGATGGTGTTGTTTAGAAACAATTTTCTCCAAATTTCGCTGAAGCCATAATGAATCGAAATAATCGTTCCGGTGGAATTAAGTTTCGGGAATTAGATTACAAAAAGTCTTCGCCGTACGACAAAGCAAAGCATGACAACAACCAGCGCAAAAAAGAAAATGTATTGAAGTTGTTTGCTGCAGCAGATTTGAAAGTAACACACGAAGATCTTGCTGAAAAAGAAAATGCAAACTCTCGTACCCCGAATCTTTCCACTTTTGAAAATGGTCCGACTATTGATGAAAACATTGACAGTGACAGTCAGACTAAAATAGACAATCAAGAGGATCAAGGAGGAGACAACCGAGAGGAGCCTATAAAACATCAAGCGAAGAAGATGAAATTGGATAATATTAATGAAAAATCAATAACGAGTCCTAAACAACTCACTCCCGATTCATCCAATCATAAATTACAAACTAATCAGTCAGTGCAACAAAAGTGTATAAACAGCGATACAAGGTAAGAAGCTCACAATAGTCGATAAATCTTTTTAACTGATTTTATTTTTTTTTACTTTTTTCAGGATTTATAATGTGATGATTGGGAAAATTTCAACTCGAAAACACAAACAATGGGAAGATGATGGAATCTTGGAAGTTCGTGGTAAAAGTGCTACATTAAAGGTACATTAGTATTTTAATTTATACATAAAATATATTAATAAATCTATATTTTAAAAAATTTCATCAAATTAATTTATTTCAGGACGTCAATGGAAAATTTATTGGTAAAACAACAGTTAAACCAGAAATGATAGAAGAAGGTTTCAGAATTTGTATGAGCGGCAAAGAAATTGAAGTAAAGAAATTATTAAATTGTCTTAAACCATATGATAATGGTTAAAAATATTGATTATTTGATTTTTAGATTGTGGAATTGGCTTCTTCTCAAGAAACAGCAAATGTTCAAACTTCTGATGATGGAAATATTAGCAGCATTGTTTTGGAACCTCCCACCAAGAAAGTAAAAACATCCAAAGGATTCATTCCAGTAAAGTCGAGTAATTAAATGTTGAAATTTGTTAAAATCTTGTAATAATAATTAACTTTCTGTATATCAAAGCTAAAATAATTATCTGTAAAAACTTATTTTTAGGTAGTTTGCATTTCAATTTTGAACCACTTATAATGCCAAATCCAACATTTAATATTGAATCCTCAATAGACGATGTAGAACAAAAACTGCATGAAGTTTCTGTAGACGGTTGTTTAGTTTCTGCTCTAAGACCTCATCAACGTGAAGGTATTATTTTTATGTACAAATGTGTGATGGGAATGGCTGACCCCAGATATAAAGGTGCAATTTTGGCTGATGAAATGGGTTTAGGAAAAACCTTGCAGTGTATTACACTAGTATGGACACTTTTAAAAAAAGGTCCTACTGGAAAACCTGTCATAAAAAGAGCGCTAATTGTAGCCCCCAGTAGTTTATGTGGAAATTGGAATAAAGAGTTTAGAAAGTGGCTGGGAAGCATGAAAATTTCTCCTTATGTTGTAGAGGGTAAACAAAAAGTTAAAGATTTTAAAAAAACTCCTAGAGCTTGTGTTATGATAATAAGTTATGAAATGTTTATTAGAAATGTAGAAGATATTAATGACTTAAAGTTTGATCTCTTAATATGTGATGAAGGACATAGACTAAAAAATAGTGAAGTAAAAACATTAAAGGTAAAATAGTAAAAAAAAGTGCAGAATTTGATAAAAACTTTTTTTCAAAATTATAATTTTTATTTTTCAGTCACTAAGTCAATTGAGTTGTGAAAAGAGAATATTGTTAACTGGTACTCCAGTGCAAAATGATTTAGAAGAGTTTTATACGTTAGCTAATTTTGTAAGCCCAGGTATTCTTGGTAGTTTTCATGAGTATAAAAGTTATTATGAAAATCCAATAGTTGTGTCCCAAAGAGCCTCAGCTGATGAAGAAGATATTGAACTAGGACAGAGTAGAGCAAAAGAATTGCATGAAAGATCAAAAATTTTTATACTTAGACGAACAAATAATTTAATTAATCAGTATTTGCCTCAAAAGCATGAACTTGTAATATTTTGTCGTTTAACAAAAGAACAAGATAACTTGTATGAACTAATTACTGATTACTGGTTCAATAGAACCCTCATGGATGTAAATGTTATGCCACTAGCTATTATAACAGCTTTGAAAAAAGTTTGTAATCATCCATACCTTTTCACATCTGAAAAAACAGATATTCTGAATGAAATATTACCGAATATCCCAACGAATTTATCTGCAATCAACACATCTTTCCAGTATTCAAGTAAATTTAAAGTAGTTCAAGCTATTATTCAAGACTTAAAAAGAACATCAGAAAAACTAGTATTGATATCATATTTTACACAAACTTTGGATTTACTGGAAAAAATTTGTTGTACAGAAGGTTTGCAATTTTGCAGATTAGATGGATCCACAAATACATCAAATAGAACAAAATTAGTGGAAAAGTTTAATTCAAAAGATAATAATTCAATAAGTAAGAAAAAACTAAATTAAGATTATATTTTATTCTAATTTATTAAAATTTTTTAGGAATTTTTTTACTCAGTGCCAAGGCTGGTGGAACTGGATTGAATTTGATAGGTGCATCCAGACTAATTTTGTTTGATTCCGATTGGAATCCAGCTAATGATGCGCAAGCTATGGCTCGAATATGGCGTGATGGGCAAAAGCGATCTGTTTATATTTACAGGTAATTAAGAACAATCGTTTTTAAGTTGAGCACTCTTCAATTATAAAATATATTTGCTTATATTCAATCATAAAGTATATTTGCTTCATAAAAAAATGTATGAATTTTCTAGATTATTAACTACTGGTACAATTGAAGAAAAAATTTACCAAAGACAAATTAGTAAAACTAGTTTAAGTGAAGCTGTTGTCGATGCAAATCATATATCTTCTCTAAAATTGTCAAAAAGTGAACTAAAGGTACTTATAATTCATTTTTTGGAAATAATATAACTCAATCATTTTTCAAAATTATCATAAATTATTCTAGGATTTATTCTCTCTAGATAGTAAAACTATCTCTGTTACTCATGATCTCATGGACTGTTCTTGTTCTGGATCTGGTGAGATACCTTCAAAGGAACAAGAAATTCTATCTACAAGTGAAAATTCTAGAGATTGTCAGTTCAGTCTTAAAAAAAAACCAAAGCAACAAATTACTATTAATCAACTTCTTTGTTGGCAGCATTTCAAGCAACCGATCAGCTCAGAGCTATTACAAGTAAGAGAAACAGATCTTTTTAAATTTAAATTTTAAATTTAATTAAGTAGAGCAATGATTTAATTGAAAACTTGCGTTATTTGCAGGATTTAATGTTAAGTAAAGTAAATTCTTTAATCACGTTTATTTTTAAAAATTCAGTAGAAAAATAAATTGTTGTTAACTTTTACAATATACATGAGATCAACACTCATCCAGTATCAAAAGGTAATACATGTTATATTTTGTTAATCTCTGAAGTCTAAAGTTTAAAAGTTCAAATATAAGTGACCTGTAGCAGTATTAAATACTGTAAAAATCGTACAAACAATATTACAGTACCTTTAATTCAACTACTTATAATTACCTGTAAATTACACATCATTAACTTATTTACAATTTACTCTGTTTCATCATGAAATTAGCCATTCTTTCTAAGAATTGCGGTGGCGTACCCTCCCTCCCTCTCTGTCTCCCACGCGCGTATGTAGCTGCACGAAGAAGAAAAAAAAGTAAAGTAAAATAAAAGAAACGCGGCTTTCTGTCTCTCGCTCGGTGGTGCTCATTGTTATGTGTCTTCGAGTGCTCTCTGCCGCGACGGTATAGCTCATCACACGCGTGACGCGTCTGTAGGCGCGCCACAGAGTAAGTTGAAGGTGTACACGCGTTATATAATTAATATAGGTAGATGTTGAAGGGGGATGATAAAAACAAATGTAACCGATCGGCTATTTTATTGTTCATATAATTTGAATTTTTCAAGATCTGCGACGAAGTAAATCAGTCGGTGCAAATCGATGCAAGGGACAAGTTGGGCCGGACACCACTGCAGTTGGCCGTGGCGAATCTCTGGCCAGATTGCGTTGATATTCTCTTTGAACGTGGCGCTGATCTGTCTAGTTTTGTTTTTCCTACTGACAGTTACTTCGCCGAAAAATATATAAGATATAATAAATCAAGTAATAGAATTGTGTTTAATGACAGATTGAGACTAGCGTCTAGCGCGTTGGCCGTCGTCGAAAAAATTGAGAATAGAGGATATCAACTGAAGCGAAGCGACGCCTTGACGATCATGAAATTTTACGCCAAGTATAGATTGTTCGAAAAGTCGTCAGATCTTGAAATATGTTGGTATGATGAGGAGGAGTTCACAACGGCTGCAAAAAAGATACGGATATGTCCGGGAATATCGATGGTAGAAAGCTATCGTGATGAAGAAAAAATAAATACAAGTCCGGGTCTGTGCCTCGATGAAGTTTTACAACTGCGACCCGAAGAAGCGGCCAAACTACTTACATATGAAGACTACTGGAAGTTCGCGTGCTCGGACAATTGGCAAGCCAAATTGTATTATCGTCAAAAAGAACTGATTGAACTCAATGCTGATAATCTGTGCGAGAAACTATCCAGAGGATTTTTCCGGAGCTGGGCACTGGATCCTCTCTGGGAGCTGATACACAAACGACTGCCACTTGAGTGCTGTGACATGATTACCGAGGAATTGAAGAACGAGGATTTATATCACATTTGTTTGGCGGCTGCTGGTCGAAGTTCATGATGACAAGTAGCAATTTTATAGCATTTTTTTGTCTGTCGTCATTACATTTTTCATATTCTTCTGATAATTCAATCAAATAAATAAATTTGAAGAAAAGAGTTTCGATTTTCTTATTGATAAGTACACAATGTAATGAAGAGTAGAATATACATCTCAAATTGTGTATTTATTAACTCTGACACCTCCTTGAGACCAAATTTATTCATACACACGTGAAATATATAAATATCAACAAATAATAATGATGCACTAAGAGCGTCTGATCGTGCCGACTTCATACGGTATTTTTCTTCTTCCCTTGATCTAAAGTATGAGCTTTCGATAGGATCGCGGCACTGACGTTATTTTTTTATGATCCAACTCCAAGCGTACCAGCATCTCATCAGCAATTAATCAATTAGCCAACTTGACTCTCGCAAAATCAAAGTCTGTGAAGCCAAAGGTTTTTCTGATTTCAACTGGGCCGTGGATGGTGTCAACGATAATAGTAGTTCGACACCGTAAACATTCACAAAATGAATATAAAGAATTTATCCGAACTAATTATAATCTTGTAAAATTAATATTTTCTATTTACTTCATTCTACGATTAAAGGAACAATTATTAGAGATGCGATCTGTAAATATTTTGGCTCTTGCATTTATGGTATTATTATTTTTATGAATGAAAATAAAAAGGCATTTTCGGCATTTATTCATTTAAAAAGGCTAATAAATAGAAAATATTAAAAGATAAATCGATATGAATTATAGAAAGAAAAAATGCCAACGGTCGCAGCCGCATCAAATTCAAATCGTGTGTAGAAGCTGCAGTCTAGTTGTAACGTCTCTGTATGCTCTCTACTTTCTCTTGTGTTGTGTTTGTCTGCTCTTCTCCTACCGACCGCCTGAATTAGGAATCATCTAATTCGGTGATGATTAGTAAGCGGGAGTCTAGCGAAGTAGATGCGTTGCCTATGCCATATGCTGTTGGTATTAATACAGCATGTATGACTATAGTCATAAATACGAGCGGCTCCCCAGCAAGCTCAATTCACGCTTTCCAAATTAGTACCGAATTTTTAACTACTCCTACTCTACTTACAAGGAGACCACATGAGATGCGTGTCACCAAATGTCCTGAAAATTTTTTCTGGTCTCTTGGTACCTAATAATGAAGCCCACTATGCTTAAGTGGATCCAATGAGCCTTAGGGTGCACTATAAAAATCATTTTCTAATTTATTGAAAAATCTTTGTGAATTTCTAACCAGTAACAGGACATCTTAAACGGAAAATTGCACAATGCAGTCAATAAATGGACGGTTTACCCTACTTATAGTAGATTCATTTTTTGGAAATATTATAACTCAATTATTTTAGTAAATTATGATAAATCATTCTAGGATTTATTCTCTCTAGATAGTAACACTATCTCTGTTACTCATGATCTCATGGACTGTTCTTGTTCTGGATCTGGTGAGACCTTCAAAGGAACAAGAAATAGGGTATCTGCATGAAAAAAAATCATTGAAATAATTATGTTATAGTAAAATATATGGCCGATTCTCTGTGAAATCGAATGGCCAAAAAATTTTTTTTTCTGCAAATATGAAAAACTTGCTGTTCCCGATGTCAGAAATGTCCCCAAATTTTATTAGAATTTTTGGGACCATCTATCACTCTTTTTCAGGGGCCCGAAGTTGGCCATTTTAGGGTTTTTTTGAAATTCATGAAAAATCACAAATATT